CTCATTTTTAGTCATGTATTCATAATTTTTCTCATTTGAAGTTAACTTGTAGTAGTAGTTTTGAACTTCATTTATTGTGAATTATTATCTAGTCTTTCTTAAATATTTTGAATAATTTTTATCTCGTAAGTTATTTTTTGAAATTAAGTTAGGTGTAATAATTTTTATCTCGTAAGTTAATTTTTTAAATTAAGTTAGGTGTAAATTAAAGTCTAATTTTCTTAATTAGAATAATTTTAATACGATCAATCTAGTTATTCACACCCCCAATAAAAAGTTTAATAACAAGAAATTTGAATGAATCATTTTCTCAACCGTTATGTCGATTGACTTGGTGAAAATTATTTTTATTAGGTAAATAGTATAATAAAGTGAAAATATGTTTGAAGTTTCGAATGTGATTTATGATTGATTGTAGGTTTCAAAAGGTAGTTATACACTTGAGGAGATTTAAACAAAAGTACCTCTCAAGTCTTGAATGAAGAAAATGTGACCTTAGGTCCATTGTGATTAATTGAAAATGGGACCTAATTAATTAAAATTATTAACTTTTGCGAGTAATAATAATAAAAAAGAAGATATTTAATTTCTAAAAAAGAAATTTATATATAACTAAAAACGTTTTTTTAAATATAAAATTAATCTCATTAATAAAAATATCAAAAGAGTCACCTAACTTAATAAAAGAAACTCGCAAAACTTAATGGGTGCCAACTCTAAAACGTGATTCTTACTTTGGATTAGGACCTTTAGAAATTCCTTATTTATTTTCGGACAAATTATAGGAATATATATTTTTTACTGGGTAACTTTCACATATAACAAATAAAAAATTTATATTTGTATGCTATAGCAAAGTTTGTATAATTGCGCCTCATAGCAAACATAGAAACTGTATAATTCGTTATACATATACAGTTGAAGCAAATTGTATAAAAAGAAGTGTATAAAACAAGAAAGAGAAAGACACTTGGGCAGAAAACTGTATAAAACAAATTGTATTATTATAAGTGTATAGAATGATAATATACGATTTGAATTTGTATAAAATGAGAAAGAGAGAAAGACAAAAGAGACTTGACAAGGAATATACAATTGAATCAAATTGTATAAAACGAGAAAGAGAGAAATTAGATACAATTTGAAAATTGTATAAAACGAAAAAGAGAGAAATGCCAAAGAAACTGGGCAGTGGAGTATTTTTACTGTATAATTATAAGTGTATAGGACGAAAATATATGTACTTGCATGTGTATATATAATTTTCTCACGCTTTATACAAACAAAAACACAATTTATACATTTCGCTTCTGTTTGTATAAGTGAGAAAGGCGAGGGTGGCGAGCGAGATTTGGGAGAGTGACGAGCGAGATCTGTAAGAGGGGAGAGAGGGGAACAAAAATATATGTATTCATACAATTTTCTCTGCTTTATACAATTAGAAATAATTTTTATATACTTGTGTTTGTATAAAAAGTCAGGAAGTGAGCGAGAGATTAGAGGAGAGTGGCGAGCGAGATATTTGGGAGAGAGGCACCTGACAATTTTTTACAAACGTTTGCTATGGAGCACAATTAAATCAAACCCTAACTACTCCATTTATTGTAGGTTATTAGTTTGCTATTATACACAATTTTCCCTTTTTTTATTTCACTTATCTTTTATTAGCTCCTATTACTTTTTTAAAAATTCGAAATTTCTTATTCTTTAATGTATCCAAGTTACATATTAGTATATTTGAGTCAGTATTTAATGCATCCAAGCTACATACGAGCTGGAATGTTTTACTCAATATAGAGCGAGGTGTAAGCCTTGAAAATGGGCCGTAAGCCCGCCCTATGGATCTTTGAATTTTTAATTTACAACATAGTATAATATAATATAATAAAAAAATATAAAAATACATCAATAGTTTAAAATAATTACAAACATGAGTAATGTAACTCATAGAAAATATAACTTCTATCATGATTATACAAATATAAATAATCTAATATCTAAACTTTCTTATAATAAAAGAATAATTAATTCTAATTTTTTTTTATCATACTAGACAATTTACTCGCCAAAAAAAAATTTGATAAAACTTATTAGTATTATAATAGAAACATCACTTCATCGTAAATAAAAATAAAATTACTTTTAAATAACTAAATAAAGTATGATAATTTTGAGACATGACAAAATGACAAAGACCAATGATAAGTGAAAAAGTAAAATTTTGCGACGCATATTTAAATAAATGTTACGTAATATATTCACATTCACAGTGTTACCAAATAGCAAAGATGTGATACTACAACTTGTTATATCTCTATTGATTAAAAGATGTTAAGTATCATTCATTTATTCAAAAATTATGAGGATCAACAAAGTTAACTAAAGATTTTAACAAACAATTTGTGTAAGATTTGTTAGGCGAGCCCCGAGCGTCTGGCGTGCTTAGGGCATACAGTCGAATGCTTAGGACGTAAGTCTTACAAAGCTAAGCCCCACACTTGAGTCTCGAGGCGTTCTACTAGAGTCTTATCCTAGGGCGAGCCCAACAAAGTCTATTTTTAGCTATATGTGCGAGTTGGTGCTTTAGTTTGTGTAATTTGAATGTTTGTATAATTTAAATTTGTATAACTTTTATATAATATAATTTTGTTTATTATAACTTGTATAACTGTTTAAAGTTAGATATTTGTTTTTGTATAAATTCGTTATTTTGAGTTTATACAAAAATAACTCAATTATTCAAATATACCCATGAATTATACAGACTCGCTCACAAATTATATAAAGTCTCAAACCATATAAATTCACAAATTATACAAATAAGACATCTTAAAATGTAATTACAGTTCGTAAATATATAAACAAGGAAAAATTGTATATAATAGCAAACTAATAACCTAAAATAAATAGAGTAGCTATGGTTTGATTTAATTGTGCTCCATAGCAAACGTTAACTAAAGTTTGTCAGGTGTCTCTCTCCCAAAAATCTCCCTCGCCACTCTCCCTCTGCTCGCCTCTCTCGCTTTATACACAAAAGTGTATAAATTCAGTTTCTGTCTGTATAAAGCGAGAGAAAATTGTATATACACATAAAAAAACATATATCTTCGTGTTATATGCTTAATTATACAATTTACAAACATTTTACTTCAATTCAATTGTAGACAAATGCAAATTTTATACAAATATTGCAGAGTAAAAGGCCAACGAATTATACAATTGCAGTGAAATACAATTTTCTTTAACTTTATACAACAGAAGTGTATATATTGTGTTTCTGTTTTTGTATAAAGCGAAAGAAAAACATGTATCTTCTTGCTATACACTTATAATTATACAATATACATACATTTTAATTCGATTCAATTGTATGCAAAGCAAATTTTATAAAAATATTGCAGCGAAATAGGCAACGAATTATATAATTGTGCATTATACAATTGCAGTGAAATAGGATAGCGAATTATACAATTGCAGCGAAATAGGCCAGCGAATTATACAATTTAGGCTAGCGAATTATACAATTGTATATGTATAGTGAATTATACAGTTTTATGTTTGCTATGAAACGCGATTATGCAAACTTTGCTATAGCATACAAATATAAATTTTTTATTTGCTATATGTGAAAGTTGTCCTATAAACAATAACGATATAATTAAGTTTTTATAATGATTATTTTTCTTTCCATAACACAATCCACCTGGCCCATGGGCTTATGCAACAGTCACCACTCACCAGAGTCCAATTATTGGACCGTTTATCGTTTTGGACACGTTCATCACTGAGCTGTATAACAAACACACACACGTGACATTTATTAGATATAAATATATATACAAATTATTCCTAAATTAATTATCTCACCTATAGATAAAAATAGCAAATTATTAATTCAAATTAAATGTTATAAATATATTTTGAATTAATCGTATCTTATAGCAGACTATAACTATTGTTGTCACTCTCTTTGGTGGAATCTCGCTCTCCACTCTCGTTTGGTGGCAGTTTCGCTCGCCTCTCTCGCTTTTTATATAAACACAAATGTATAAAATGTGTTTGTGTTTGTATAAAGCGAGAGAAAATTGTATAAATACATATATTTTCATTCCCCTCTCTCTTCTCTCCCAGATCTCGCTCGCCACTCTCACGTCTCTCGCTTATACAAACCGAAACGAAATGAATAAATTGTGTTTCTGTTTGTATAAAGCGAGAGAAAATTGTATATACACATGCAAATACATATATTTTCGTTCTATACACTTATAATTATACAATAAAAATACTCCCCTGTCCGCCCAATTTCTTTTGCCTTTCTCTCTTTCTCGTTTTACACAAATTCAAATTGTATATAAATTCTCTCTTTTTTTGTTTTACACAATTTGATTCAATTGTATATTCCTTTCCCAAGTCTCTTTCACATTCTCTCTTTCTCATTTTATACAAAATAAAATTCGTATATAATCGTCCAATATACTTATAATTATACAACACAAATATTTCCCGCCCAAGTCTCTTTTGCCTTTCTCTCTTCTCGTTTTATACAAATTCAAATTGTATATAATTTCTAACTTTCTCGTTTTATACAATTCACTTGAACTGTATATGTGTAGCGATTTATACATATATATGTTTGCTATGGAGCGCAATTATGCAAACTTTGTTATAACATGCAAATATGAACTTTGTTTTTGCTATATGTAAAAGTTGTCCTAAAAATAATACCATAAAATAATTAATTTAATAATTAATAATTAGGCAATATTATTTCAATCAAATTATAAAATAAATTATGTGAAATTAATTATTTTTTATCCTTCGTATCAAACGATCGGGAGGACAAAGATTGGTCAATTAGTTGCTAAAGGTAGTTGTACCATTAGAAGATGCATTGGTACCGTTTACGGCACATGAAAAAAAAAAATTGAATTATGCTGAGAAAAGACAAGTGGCGGGATTTATGCAATACAAAAAAAATATAAAAACATAAAGTTTTTTCTCGGCGATCCGTTAAGCGCGCTTTCTCTCACTCACGAGAAAACGGAGAAGACAATCATCGTCTTCCTCATCAACTTTTCTTTCTTCTCACTCTTTTTGAATCATTATAATACTTAATACTTTATAATATATGATATTTATAAACTTTCCTTTTTTTAAAAAAATTAATTAATTTTGATTGCTTTGTTTACCATATTTTGCTTTTTTGGTATATTATTTATTTGATTAATTCTGTCCATGGATCTGAAATTGATACCCGTGAGTTTTTTTTTTCTCTTCTTCTTCTTTCTAAAGGCTCTGTTTTCTGTTTGTTATGTTTTTTTTGATGAATTTTGAATATTGTGTTTTTTTTGTTTTGTGATTGTGATAGAGGAATTTGTGTAGAATTCGGATTTGTAGATCGCCAGTTAGCTGCATTTGTGTGTTGTTTGACGTTCAGTAGTTGGAAGTAGATTTTGTTGTGTGGATATTTCTTCGTGATAGAGCAGGGGATATTGAGATCATGGAGAAGAAGAAGTATCCGATTGGACCGGAGCATTACACGCTTTTCGAGGAGGTAGGCCAAGGAGTCAGTGCTTCGGTTCATCGTGCCTTGTGTGTTTCTCTCAATGAAGTTGTTGCCGTCAAAATCCTCGATTTCGAACGCGATAATTCCGATTTGGTACCGTTCCTCTATTATATTCCCAGCTATTTTCTGTATATATATGTAGCTGAACGGCCACAAAGTTCTCATGCTTGTTTGTTTTTCATTTTTATATATGAAAAAAATAATGAAATTCCACATTTTTGCCTGCTTGGAGGCTTATGTTATCTCAGTAGCTTTTGAAAATGAAGAGATTAAAACTAGATATATACCAGAATCGAGTAATTAACTGCTCTGGCATTTTGATTGACGATAAACTGATAATAGGATCAATTAAATTTCTAATTCCTTTTTTGCAACTCATATATCCAGAATGACATCTTGTGTGAAGCACAAAAATGAAACGAAAATTAGACGTTTCTGGTATATTGTATGTAAAAAAATAATTGAAATTCCACATTTTTGCCTACTTAGAGGCTTAGGTTATCTCAGTAGCTTCTGAAAATGAAGAATTAAACTAGATAAATACAAGAATCGAGTTAAACTGGCATTTTGGTTGATGCTAAGCTGATTATAGGATGAAGTAAATTGTTCTGATTCCTTTTTTGCACTTATATCTAGAATAACATCTCGCGTGAAGCCCAAACGATGGTCCTAGTTGATCATCCCAATGTTCTTAAATCACATTGCTCATTTGTTAGTGATCACAACCTATGGGTAATCATGCCTTACATGGCTGGAGGTTCCTGTCTCCACATTCTGAAGGCTGCTCATCCAGATGGCTTTGAAGAGACTGTTATTGCAACAGTATTACGGGAAGTTCTAAAGGGATTAGAATATCTTCACCATCATGGCTTCATCCATCGCGATGTTAAAGTAAGTCCATTTTCTTTGCATAAATCAATTACTAATGCACAGGCTGATTTTTTTATGTATTAGATGATAGAACATATAAATTTATGTGGTTTCACTTTACAAGTCTTATTTTGACAATTAATAGGAATTTTGTGTTGGCACTTCCATTTGAAACTTGCTTCACTAGACATGATCTGTACATACAGGTGTTTGACAGTTTCAGTAAAAATGTCACTTGAATTTGAACATGGAAACTGATTCCTTTGAAGAAACTTTAGCATACCTGTTCCACTTAAGATCCCACGGAAATATGATAAAGGATAAATCTAATTCATGCTTGGAATCACCTATGTCTCTTAAAAAACATTCTTTCCATTACCATGCCGAGGTTGATATCACGCACTTGTGCGATTATTGCAGGCTGGAAATATTCTCATTGATTCACGAGGTGGAATAAAGCTGGGAGATTTTGGTGTCTCTGCTTATTTATTTGATTCAGGTGATAGGCAACGTATGCGGAACACATTTGTTGGAACTCCTTGTTGGTATGCTCTAACCCAAGAGGATGCTTCTGAAATTTTTATCAAAGTTTTCATGATTTATTCAATGGTTGATAACCTTCGAACTTTTGATCTATTCTGGTACTAATTACTGTGGACAGGCGAGAAGCCGAAAATAAGTGCATGCATAAAGTGTACATCTAAAAATTAAGATGTTAAAAATATTGATGAAGATTTCACTCATATTGCACCTTAATGTTTTCCATAATTTAGATTTCTTTTACAGGATGGCACCGGAGGTCATGGAGCAATTGCATGGTTATGATTTCAAGTAATGCTTCTGGTTAATTATTTACTGTTTTCATCCTAAATGTGTACTTCTATCTGAAGGAAATCCTTTTTTTTCGTTTTATCCATTTTCATTCACAGAGCTGATATTTGGTCCTTTGGCATAACTGCATTGGAGCTTGCTCACGGTCATGCTCCTTTCTCAAAATATCCTCCAATGAAGGTGAATATTGTTAGTGATTCTTTTCTTGAAGTCCTAAATATAAAATAAAAATGCATTCAATATTCTATACTTATCAGGTCTTGCTAATGACATTGCAAAATGCACCCCCTGGCCTTGATTACGAGAGAGATAAGAAGTTCTCAAAGGTAACTGAATAGCATTGATTGTTCAATGATAATGTTATTTTCACGTTGCTTATACTCCTTTTTTCCTTCTGTAGTCTTTTAAGCAAATGATTGCTAGTTGCTTGGTGAAAGATCCTTCAAAACGACCTTCAGCCAAAAAATTGCTGAAGCATCCGTTCTTTAAGCAAGCAAGGTCCAATGATTATATAGGTAGGACACTGTTGGAGGGTTTGCCAGCACTTGGAGATCGCATGAAGGCATTGAAGGTGATTAGCTGTGTCTCAATCTGAGTTTCCCCACTTTAGAGCCACATGATACTTCATCCAGATGATAATATTGTATCAGCATTTCTATGCTAAAAATAGTTTTTCCTAACCTAATTGTAGAGGAAAGAAGAAGACATGCTAGCACAAAAGAAGATACCAGATGGGCAGAAAGAAGAAATATCACAGGTTTGCTGTCATAACCAATTTCACGAGAAAACTGAGATTTTGATATCTGTATAACATAATGTCTTTTATTTATTGCCTTGTACATCATGAATACCTTACATGTTTACGCTAAGCTTGCATTAGGAAATGAGATGTTTTTCTTCTTAAAGTTGCTTATATATGGAAAATAAATGGAACAAACAAGAAAGGATAGGCAGTATTTACCGGATGTAAGTAATTCATACCACTGATTCACCGGTTCACAAGAAAGGATAGGCAGTATATCCTGGAGATAAGTAATTCATACAACTGGTTCATCCCAGTCGATTTTTCATATGTCAACTGCTTTTAAAATTTGATATACAAAATGGATGTAGGAAAATCTTTTCAAGAGCTTAGCCACAAACACGGTATTAGCAGATTGCAAGGGAAGAAGTGTTTTTAGAGGAATTTTATTTAGTTAACCAGATAATATCTTAAAATGTTTTTTGATCAAGGTAATGCATTTTAACAGTCTCGACTCTTGAGAGACGGACTTTTTAGATCCTAAGAAATTTAACCTTTGTGTTAATGCTGCGAACATAAACTCCCTATATTTTTTTCGGATCGCCAGCTTATAGGAAATTTCTGAACTCTGAGGTGATTGTTTAATAAAATTGATTATTATACCCGGATACAAGTAGTTTTAATTTTTGTGGTAATACCTACTCCCAAGTTTATAAGAGAAAGAAAAGAAATTATTCTTCATCTAGAAATGATAACAATACACATATTTTAGAAGTTGCTTCATGCCATGGTTTCCCTTAACTTTTTTCGTTACTATTTTCGCTTCAAATTCTTTCTGCAGGCCTTAAATTTTGGTACATCATTTCAAAATTCATTTTTATCTTTGAACATTAGATCTTACCGTGCCTTAATGCTATATGCAGAATGAATATAAACGGGGGATTAGCAGCTGGAATTTTAACCTTGAAGATTTGAAGGCACAGGCTACCTTGGTACATAAATCTACTCTCTGATGTACATGTACCACAGTGTTTTCAATCATATGCTAGTTTCTTAATGTATACAAGTTGAGATTCTTGGTTGATGGGTAGTTTCTCAAGCTCAATTTTATTGGCTTCTTCAAATGAAAATTGTGAAACTTGCTATGAAATGAAGAATTTCCGTCTAGATTGTCCACATTAGAAATCTTTTCTTAATCAGCATAACAAAAGCAAGTTCAGGAGCATTGTGTTTACTATATCTTTTTTTCAATTGTTTTTGCTTTTAGATTCCAGATGAGGAGATCCTTGGTTACAAGGACCTAGGTGGGAGTTCGAATTCGCTGTCTGGGCTTGACATTCCAGGGAAACAGCTAAATAAGTTTCAGCATCAGTTCTCCTTCTCAAGTCAATATTCAGATGCTACTGAATTTGTATATCGTTATCTCCTTTATTCTATATGATATGTTGCAATTTGGGGTCTTTCCTCTAATATGATACATCTCTCAACAGGACAGTAACAATCCATCTGCCCCTCCTTCACCTGCCACCCAGAATGTGGCTTATAACATGTATGTCCTCCATCCTATGTTGAGAGTTATTACATTACTCTTTTATCATGTATTTTTAATGCTAAATATCAAGAATAAGAGCACATCATTAAGTTTGCTAGTATCTGTAGCTAAACATTCCTTTTCTTTTTTGAACATTTCAGAACTAAATGTGAGAAATCTGATGATGATTTAAGCATTGCCAGTTCATTTCATGATCATCAAATTTCACAAAATTCATCACCATGCTATGACAATCGCATGGAATTGAATTCGGCGGGAAAAGGTGACCAAGTGGCTGATGCAAAGTTATTCGAGGGCATGCCTACAAATTCTCGCCAAAGGTATGACACAATTTGCTCAATGACTTGAGACATTTTCTGAGGTATTTGTATAGATTTTTAGCCTCGTGAAACATTACTGCACAATGTCCATATTCAATGTTTTAGCATTTTTTAACTTGTTAAATTTAATCTTTTTGCTCCAAGCAGATTTTTAACTTGGATTTATCTAGTAGCTAATTGATTTGTTTGGATAAGGAGATAGTCCTTTGACATTATAAATCTTGTATTAAGAAGTTGTTAGTATGTGTCATTATTCATTTGACAAGTGAGACTTAGAAACAACCATGAATAACATTGTCAATGAAGAAGGTTACCGCCAGGAAGTTGTTAGAAAGCAAAAGGCTATCCCAGCTAGGTAAACTGAATGAGGAAAGAGGAACCTAATCAAAGAACTTTTACATTGAAATGTGCTCTTGTTCAACTGGAGCTCTATCTGCCTTGTGGTTTGATTGATTTGAGTAAAGCTTGTTATTTACTAACACAGAATTTCAGGGCATTTTATCAGTAATTAAATCGCACAATTGACTTCTGACTTTCCTTTACCTTCTAATAGCCAACATTCTTAGCTATCTTGTTTAACATCCACGATTTAAGCAGTGCCATGTTTTCTCCAAGTTCCTAAATTTGCTTTTTTTTTCTTTGTGATTAGTGATAAAAGTCAGTTCCAAAATGTATCCAGTTGCAATGGGACTTCAGTTCTTCAAACAATAGATGATGTACCAACTGAAGTAATCAGTAAACACTGTAGAACCTCAGGTAAGTATCGGGATTGTTAATGGCTTTTGATCTTAACAAATAATTTTTCAGTATATTGGTTTCATTAAAAAATAATTTTCAAATATATTCTTTTTTTTGTTTTAATATTGTCTTACTAAATCAAGACTGTATTTAGCAGCTAGCAGTGAAGATTTTGATGAGAAGACTAAGGGTCATGTTGTTCAGCAAAGAGGACGTTTCAAAGTTACGTCAGAGAATGTCGACTTGGAAAAGGTGAATGCATATATTTTATTTTTCATTTTGCAATGAATTCAGGAACTCCACCTATGTGAGCTCTGCAAAGCGCAACCAACAATTTTAAAACACAGATAAAGGAGGACAATTATGAGCAAGTCTGTTGCCAACATAAAAAACAGCCTTCAGTAATATTTTAGATACTGAATGAATAGATACAGAGGTTTTATATGACCAACCACAACTAGATTTTTTGAATTGCGATGTAGTTTATTAATATATTATATATTATATGCACACACATTGATATCTTGTCTCACATGAAATAATTTCTTCCTACAGGTAGGTGCATCTCCAATGCTACACAAGAGTCAGAGCATGCTGGTTGGTTTCCCTATTTTTTCTATATACCTTTTTTAATGGATAGACATATATCATTTGTTCACTGAGTGCTTAGTTTGTAAGCCAATTCCTTAGTTTCTTTCAGTAACGCTTAGCTCATACATATACCATAATATTGACCAAGTAGACATTGCTATGTCACTGTTGTATTTGTTCGGCTGTTCTCTCTTTTTTTTTTTTAAATTTATATTACAATTTCTAAAGCAAATGTCATGGATCATGTAGGTGATGCCACAAACTCTTGCTGCTTCTCAACCATTACCACTTGATGTTACACCACCAAATCTTCTTACGCCATCCCATTTTCCAGCGTTGCAGAGTATTTTAGAGGCAAATATTCTTCAAAGGGTAAGAGCGGATTATAATTATGACACATTAGTTTTTCAGTTTTTTTATCCACTGTCTTTTCTCCCTCCCCAAACAGGAAAGTATTCTTAGATTGATGAGGCAAGTGGCCGTTGGGGACAATACGGGTATGAACAATGAATGCCTATTGAAATTCATCTATTTTATCCCTTTGTGTTGGTCATGTTTTTATCCTTTCCTACCAACATTGCAGTGGATGCTGGATGCATGCCATTAAATTCGCTTGGTGTGGAGAAATCGCTGGTATGAGCTTGCATTATAGTCTTTCGACATTCATTTGCAATAAAAACCATTTAAGTGACTTTTGCACCTTTTTCGTATCAATATAAAGTATATCTCCTTCCTCTATTTCTTGTAGTTGGAGGTTGCTCATGACAAAGAAAAGGAATTAATTAGTGAAAACACTGAATTGCAGTGGAGGTATCATCGTTACTCAGTAATGCCATACGCCTATATTGAAGATTATATCTTCTGCCATTGAAACTAGTATTTCCCTTGATATACAGGTTGATACGCGCTCAAGAAGAACTTCAAAAATACAAAGCGGAAAACGCTCAAAATAACTCTTGAAATAGGAGACTGCATAGGGGATATCACAATCTTTATAGTTCGGATTACTCAAGATACATTGATGTTATTGAAAAACTGTAAAGGAGAAATGATTAGTAGCAGCAGGTTATAATTTTGATTTGTACATTAATGTTTATAGTAGGCTGTGAGATGCTGGTTTTATTATCTCTATTTATTATTACTGCATTTACTCGACCCTTTCTTGTATATGTTTTAGTCAAAACTTTAGAGAACCCAGTCCTTGATAATAATACCAACTGTTGTATTTGAATGAATTCCTGAAGATGTTAGTCCATTTTTTTTACTTACAGCCTGAGAAAATCTGCAATCGGAGGGATCAGAGGTAGCTATGTTGCTCAGATTCTTCCAAAAAGTCAATGGGTGTGTTTCGGGTTTAGTATATTTGTGGAGAATCCAATATGGATGCGGAATCGAGTCTTTTCTGTCAGCTGAAGTTATCCACTCTCATGTTTGGTATATTCTTGATTGTATTGGGATCTTAAACCGCCAGTTTGAACGGACTTATAACTTATGACTTATAAGTTGAGATTCTAAACTTATCTTATTTTTAGAAGCAAACACATAAATATTTTTTTATTTTACTCAAACACTAGAAAATGACTTAAAACACCTAAAATAAGTCAATCGAAGCAAACTCTAACTCTTGTTATTTGGTTCGATTTTGTGAAGATGTTATATTTCCTACAGTTTGATTCTTAAAATGAGAAAAAATGTTGTTTTGTCAAACGGCTTAATAATTAAGAGTTGGCTACATAATTGACATAACTTTTGCATTTTTCTTCATAAATAACCGAGTTATATCAATTTTAACATAATATAAAATTTTACAGATAAAATTTAAAGTCTACTAAAATCAGGGATTTCATAATTATTCCTTTTTCTGAAGAAATGGTTGCTTATTTTCTTTTGTATGTTATTACACAACGGTCAGACGGTGTATATTTAAATATTAATGGTTATTAAGAAAAAAAATGAAATTTCCATTCATACAAAAAAAAAAAAATGTTGACTAAGATTGGCAATAATATAAATAAAGATATTACATTATACGTGATTTTGCTACTATGCCATTTACATTTGCAATATTATTTCAAATATACAATTTACTTACAATATCTGATATATACCTATAATATCAATATATGACATAATTATTCATATAATAAGTATCGATTAATTACATATACATATGATTATTTTTTGTTGAAATTTTTTTTTAGGAAAAATTACGCGGTTAAACAAATTTATACTACGTAATTATAGGTCATAGCTATAGTTTGCTATAATTATCACTTACAACTACAATTATACATTTATTACGTAACTTCGAATTTGTATAATTAGTCACGTTTGTATATGTAGAATTCGCTAGAATATATAAATACATATGTATAATATACAATTATCTAACTAATATACATATACAATTCACCTCTCTCCCACTTGCTCCCCTCTCTCGCTCGCTCCTCTCCTCCCTCTTCCAATCTCGCTCGCCTCTCTCCTCCCTCTCCCAATCTCTATACAAATACATATGTATAATATACAATTATCTAACTAATATACATATACAATTCACCTCTCTCCCACTCGCTCCCCTCTCTCGCTCGCTTCTCTCTTCCCTCTTCCAATCTCGCTCGTCTCTCTCCTCCCTCTCCCAATCTCTAGACAAATACATATATATAATTATCTAACTTATATACATATATAATTTACCACTCTCCCACTCTTCGCCCCCTAACTCTCTCAGTCTTGCTTGCCTCACTTCCTTATAATATTATATTACGAATTATAATTATCAAATTATAGCTATTGACAATAATTAGGCTATTTTTGAGTGTCTATGTGAAAGTTTTCCTTGTTTTTATCACGTGGACAATTACGTAAGGAGCCCAACCATAGTATACTAATAGAATTGGTTCACGAAACAATTTGGCCCATATTCACCTCGTAAATGGGCTCATTGGTGGCCCGATCAGTGAGTTAACTTTCTGTTCAGGTAAGTTTATGAATTGTTCACGTGAAAGCCACGCGCTGTATATATTTGTTTGGCAAGTGCAAAATTTCTCGATTTCTTAAATTCCAAAAACTTGAAAAGCAAAGGAGTAAGAGCCGATCCAGCATTGGGAGTTTCTAGGGTTTGTTTTTCTTCTTTTTGTTGTAAAGCTATCTTTTTTACTCCTAATTCGCAGGGATGAAGCTCACTGTAAAGACTCTCAAGGGAAGTCACTTTGAAATTAGGGTTCAGCCATCTGATACGGTTAGTTAGTTTTTTTTTTTTTTTGCGTTCTTTCTATTATATATGATTTTGCAGTCGTTTTTCCTTTTTGTGTGTGTTTATGTACATAATTACAACATTGATGAACAAAAAAGAACAACTTTTGTTATTGCGTGCGTCTTTCACAATTTTGTCTTGGTTTAACACTTGCTACATTGGTTGTTTGATTGGAGCTGTTGATGGTGTTGTGGATGTTGTGGTTGTGCCTTATCTGATGCCTGTAATTATGACAAGTTCGTGAGAATTTTATAGAATCCTGGTTGTTTAGATGTCATATGTCACCCTTTTATTTTAAATTTTTATATCACTAGGTTAATTAAAGCTCATTGTCTTGTAGAAGGTACTAAGTTTGTCTTTATGTTTGGATTTTGAATCAAATTTGCCCGTTAAATAATAATTTGCACAGTAATTGTCGTATTTGTCGTATATATAAGTGGTTCAGTTTTAGTTTATATTAACTTTTTCCGTCTTAGACTAACGCAAAACCATTCGTGTGCCCCAGCCCCTAAACTTAAAAAGAAACTATTCACGTGCCCCAGCCCCAAACAATCTATCTTCTAGCCAAGGGCGTATCTAAAGGGGTGAGGGTTTTCACTCGAACCCCCTTGGCAAAATATTACACCTTTTTATATAAGGTAATATTTTATTTCTATGCATACATATATATAGATTTTGAATCCCCTGAATACGAGACTAGGGTTTGGTTCAGTGGTTTAGGGGTTCAAAATCACCTTGAGGTTTCTAGTTCAAATCTCAAACGCTACATTTTTTCCGAACCCTTGTAGTGAAAATCCTATATAAACCATTGCTTCTAGCAGTGGAGTGGTATGGTTTTCCGGCGGAAGGAATGGTAGATTTAACCATGCCATTGCTTCTAGTAGTGGCCAGTGGGATTGTTTTTTCGGGCAGAAGGGATGGTGGATGGATGGAATGATAACTTGGGATTCATTAAGGGCAAAATGGGTGACGGAAGTGGCCGTATCTTAGGAATTTTTGTTTTGGTGATACCTCATAAATTTTTCACCTTCCTCTCGTTATCTGTCTCTATCAATACGTTTTACCAGATCTGAATCATTTGGATTTGGGTTCTGTTTTCTAGATTCAAAGTTTTATTATACTTCACTGCTTATTAGGATACTGGAGGAGGAGCAAATTAATTTCAGCTGTAGAAGAGTATAGAAGACGTAGCATGACCACACGTGATTACTTGGTGTTCTTGGTTCATTTGTGACAAATAAGCAACCATCTTCCAATACTGAGAACTAACAGAGCTACGAGAACTCAATACCCATGATTTCATTCATTTAGTGATGTCAGGAATCCAAAAAAAGAAGAAAAAATGTCAGGAATAGTAAGACGACTCCAACTCCTCGAATGGTTCATGTTGTTTCTTTGCAGCAATAAAAAGAAGTTAACCTGATGAATTGGAGAAACTGTGACTAACTTTTTTGCTTATTGAAATCTGTAAATATTCCCTTTCTCGTGGCTAGTACTCCTGACCGGTTTCTTTCTTGTTTTAAAAGATTGGGAGCGAGACATATGAGCCAAATATGTCCTCTCCACTAGTCTTAGACAGAAAAGGTTACAAATGACTTGAATGTGTTGTATACTTGGAGGACTATCAATGCTCCACAAATATATAAGTGACTATTTTGATTCAAAGCCTAAACTTGGGGCCAATTTTTATATCGTTTGTATAACTTCAGAATGCATCATATTTATGGAAATCTGACAAGTCTAGTTTCCAGATCTCAGATCATTTAATTGCTTTGAGCTATAAATGTTGGGGCCTACTCCTAATAGGTCAGCCATTTCTATGTTATGTAATGGGATATCTTGTGATTGTAGATTATGGCAGTCAAGAAGAACATTGAAGATGTACAAGGAAAAGATAATTACCCATGTGGGCAGCAGTTGCTGATTCACAATGGTAAAGTGCTGAAAGATGAAAGTACATTGTTGGAAAACAATGTCTCTGAGGATGGTTTTCTTGTTGTCATGCTTAGCAAGGTATGTCTATAGATCTGAAGATTCCCTTTACTTGTAAGTTTTCGGCGTATAACTTTGCACTTTTGTTGCTTCTAATTGATTGATTTTTAAATCCTCAAATCTGTAACTCCAACAGGATGTGTTTCTTGATCTTATATCTATCTATGTGTTCTTTGCAGAGCAAAACTGCTAGCTCAAGTGGGACAACTTCTGCTCAGGTACTGTGGTCAAATTAACGGTCTGGTTGTCTTGTTTCTGAGAATTACCATCTTAATTTTTTTTTTCTGGTTTCTGATAATTACCATATTAATTCTTTTGTTCGTCTGGTTTCTGATAATTACCTGCTGGATTCTTTCTTTCAGCAGCCAGCAACTGCCGCAAATCCTACTACAACACCTGAAGTGATTCCGCCATCACAGTGAGTTGCAACTTTCACTATCTACTATTGCTTATGCTGGATCTGCCCCTGATGATGTAAATGATGTGTAGGGCCCCAAAAGATGTTGTGTCAGCTTCGGATGCTGCGGCTGCTAGGTAAAAAACTATGCCTGTATATTATAAATCTGTTGCATTTTGTTTGTCTTAGTTTGACTCAGCACAAAGTTTAAGAAAATAAAGAAATTAATGCATCTTTTACATTGCTGCAGTCTTCCAGCTGATGATTATAGTCAAGCTGCATCAAATTTAGTTGCTGGCAATAATCTCGAGCAAACTATACAACAACTTATGGATATGGGTGGTGGCAGCTGGGACAAAGAGACAGTTACTCGTGCACTTCGAGCTGCTTATAACAATCCTGAAAGAGCTGTTGATTACTTATATTCAGTATGTTCTGGGTCTACTTCACTTTAAAAGGTGGAAGGGATGCACAAATTTGTTTGTCTTTTGTGCTTTGACAGGGGCTTTTTTTTTACAGGGAATTCCTGAAACGGCAGAAGTTTCTGTACCGGTAGCCCGGGGTGGAGTTAATTCTGCTGCTGTGCCTACTGCTGCGCCTATTGCACCTTCTTCTGGCGCACCTAATTCTGCTCCTTTAAATTTGTTTCCTCAGGTCTTCTACAGCTTCCCTTAGTAATAGTATTTTGTGCTTTTTCTCTTTATATGGTTATCTAAGTTAGAGCCATTACAGGAGAATGTTGCTGGTGGTGGCGGTGCTGGTCTTGGATCCCTTGATTTTCTCAGGAACAACCAACAGGTGGGTTATGATCATTATATTTTCGTTTTCGCTTTTGTCTTTGGTTCTAGCTTTTCGACTCCTGATTTGAATTAATGAGATTACCTCTCGACTCTTTCATTATTCCAATTCTTAAGTTTATTCTGGATATTTCTCTGTCTAAGTTGCTCTACACCCGTAATCCTCTGCAACTCATGGTTCTTTTGTTATTTGTTTCAGTTCCAAGCTTTACGTTCCATGGTTCAAGCTAACCCACAAATTTTACAGGTAATTACTGTTCTTCACTATTTTCTTTGCTTTGTTTCTTGTGTTTTTCGCTGTCTGAATATACAAATTGTGTGTTCTATTGTAGCCTATGCTTCAGGAACTAGGAAAGCAAAATCCTCAACTTTTAAGATCTATACAAGAGCATGATCAAGAGTTTCTTCAATTAATCAATGAACCTGTGGATGGTTCTGATGGGTTAGTTGCTTACTGTGTGCTATTCGCCGAGCTAGAGTTAGAAGCATCATTTTTATATATTTTCATGATCCTCCTAGTGTTTCTTCTCTCCAGACTGAAACATATTTTATTTTCAATTATATTGTGGTCAAGTATAAAAGGATTTTATCATCTTGCAGTCCTAAATCATGTTTGTATTTAAAATGTTAGGGAATAGCTTTGAGATTTAAGATACAAATCTGCTACATATGAATTATTTTAAGTCGTTTCAATTTCATATGTTTTAGGGACATGTTTGATCAGGCTGAGCAAGAGATTCCTCACACAGTTAGTGTGACTCCAGAAGAACAGGAGGTGATTGAGCGGGTATGAGACATCAACTTTAGTAACCCCTAGTATCTCATAGACATTTTGTAATGTTCATTGACTAATTTGTTTGCTCATTTGCAGCTGGAAGCAATGGGTTTTGATAGAGCTCTTGTCATTGAAGCTTTTTTGGCTTGTGATCGCAATGAGGAACTGGCTGCCAATTATCTGTTGGAGCATGCAGGAGATTATGAAGATTAAGTGGGAAAACATGGTAGCAATATTCTTTGGTACACAAACAGTTCTTGAACCGTTTTTAGTACTTGAGATTGTTTGTAAAGGAGGTTTTACTTAAAATTATTGGATCCAATTGATCTTCCCAATTGGGAAGCTTAATTTGTTAGCTTTTCTTCTTCTATTATACAATCTGCTCGTAGGATCAAAATATCATGTTTTTAGACGCAACTCCTGCATTTCTATGCAACTTTGATGAACTTCGTCAGCCCCTCCTTATAAATATATATTAGGACTTGGGACTTGCTTTGAAGTTCGTCTTTGATTAAACAACCCATGCAATCTTTGGTCATCATTAAAATGGCCGTCTGATATTCAGTATGTTGCAAGAACGTTTGCTTCTCACGTTGTTTAATTATGTACGTTATTATCAAAAGCTTCAATGTGAGTGTGAAATTTATTACACAATTAAGAATTTACAAAGAAAATGAATTATCATATTTCTTAAATAAGAGTAATGCATGTTTATAAAAGTATTATGCTGTTTATTTTCAGCTAATATTTTGTTTCATTTATTTATTTTTGAAAAATCATGGAATTTACTCGTCGTGGATGGTTGATCTGAAACGGCATTTCATGATGTATAGGATGTTCTGCCATGCACCTCCATATGACCTCTGGTATGAAGAGAATTATTCTATATTTCTTGGATAGGTAACATATATAAATTTCTCTAATAAATGATTAAAGAAAACCTACTACATTTATAAAAGCAAGCCCATATTTATTACCACACAACAAGCATCTGAAATATACAGTTGAATAAAATCACTGTTGCATTGCCTTGCACATTATCCACATGACAGAGAAAAGGAACATCGAAATCCTTTCAAACATTGTCCAAACTTACTTATCATATTAGTAGTAACTGTAACATTCATTTCCTTAGATTACTCAGAACTCTCTGTCCGGGAACAGAATTGGAGCAACCTGAGACCAGATGAACAAAGCTGCAGTTGCCCACCCAGTCACGATCCTGACCCAGACAGATGGCCACCCAACGTCCACTAATTTTCCACTCTCCCCCACAGAGGTTGACCAACCCGTAAGAAGCATTGCCGAGTACATACTAGCGAGAGAAAAGATAAGGTGGAAGAAAGAATAGGAGTATGAGACTGGCTTAGATCTCTCTTTTTCTTCCTCCTCATCAACCTTGTCCAACGGTAGCAAGGGCTTCCCTGAGCCTTAAACAGAAGAAACAGTTCTTCAGAAATAATTATCTCCCAGATCTATTGACACCAACTGCTAAACTAGTCAAATAGGTTAGAGTAACTTTCAAAGACTAATATGAACTTACTTTACTAACACAACTAAGACTAGAACAAGTATAAGCCACCAGATAACACAAGCACATTAAAACGGATACTGAAAGGTAAAATTAGAGTACAATAGAAGTTCTATTAAACTATCAACTCAGTCCAGCTCTACTCAATTCTATTAAACTATCAACGCACTCTAGCTCTATCAGTTCTATTAAACTATCAAACACAGTCCAGCTCTATCAAATGACAGCAAATTTATTGATCATATAAAGACTCGGGACTCAATCAGGTATCTTAAGGACAAAATTTGAGGAACATAACATACACAGTTACGACCAGTGAGAATGGAAGAGCAGTAACATCTTAATACATTATAGCCCTCTGAGATAGTGGTGACTAACCTGCACGTGGTGAGCTTGGAGGAGAAAGCAGAGTCGTAGAAGAGCCAGCGCGAACAGCAGAGTAGACAACAGATAGAACTGTTGTTAGCAACCCTAATGCAAGTGTGCCACTGGAAACAGCCTTGGAGTGCTTATGTAGACCGTTGCACTCATAATCCCTAGGTTCACTTGCAAGTGCACTGTAGCAGAGGTATGTGCAGTACAGGGATAAAACTGATGCAGGTAAAATACTTCCACCTACCTACATTTGGAAAATTTGATCTCTGAGAAAAGGAAAAAGATCCAGAATATGGAAGTCATTATTCTGACATAAAAAATGGCAGTAATTTTCAAAGTGAGACAGATATTTCATTTCCAACAGCTGGACATTCAGAGGCAACTGGTAAGCTTAAATACCTCAAAATAAATAGATCATGAGCACAGATTGTCATAACCTATCCTTCTCTTTCAGTAGAATTGCTGACAGTGTGTGTGTGAATGATTACAGTCGAAAAGATTTTCTTTTCTCATGCATTAAATAATTGCAAAAGGTTGCACTGCACCTCTAGAAGGAACCTTTTAATATCAAACCAAACTAATTACAACCTTAAGGAGGAGTTTATTTAATTTATTGGGGTGGCGAGTTGGGTGGAAGGAGACTTAATAACAGAGATGGTTCTATAGGAGCTGCCTTGAAAGGTTGAATCGTCTCAACACACAGATTCAGAAATATCCCCAGCTGTGAGTCATTCAAGACGTATTGACGAGAAGTAGCTCCAACTCTGATCATCGTACTCCCCACTCTCCAAAGGAATTGTGTTGCATCTATCTACTTGGTCCTGCTGTTACCTAGATCATCTTGACTTGTTAAAGACGTTATGGTTCCATTAATGATTACTGCTTAAGGATTATGAAGGACCAAGTTGAGGAAAAACCCAATATGCTAGTTAGCAGCTAAATGTCTAGGTTTAAGCAATTCCACTTAGACGATAATTCTTCAATAATAAAGTGGTTTCCTTGCAAAACAATGTCACATGAACATGAGGTCATGGAGGAAAATATACTGTTGAATTTTCTCATGTTTGATTAGTCAAAGATGCTTTGAAAAATATTGTCTCTAGAAAACAATTTCCTTAAAAAAGACTTTCCTATTGACAAGTTCTATAAGTGATATTCCAAGTTCATTGTCTCCTCTCCACCAGCCAAATCATAATCCCATCCCATCCCAAATGAGATCTTAAAAGAAACACATGAGGCACCACTTTATTTGAAATTTAGCATCCCTTATCATTGAAACTAGCAAGAAACATTTCCTCAAGATTGAAAGAAAGCACTAAAAAAATCATGAGTACTTGAAGAATGGATAAAGAAAATGCTAACATGTACAGAGATATGCAGCATATGTTAAAAGCAAAGCTTTCTAGCTTCCATGGTAGCTCAACTACCAACACTTACTGATCTGCTTTGTCTAATAAAGCCACATTTGTAATCACCACAAATAGAGGTATCAAATGAGAAAAGCAAATGAATGTATATGAAGGTGGCATGTTTGCCAGCAAAATTTAGGGCCAACAAAAGTTTTAAGAATAAGGAATTATTGTGCAACAATAAAGGAAATAAAAATACGAAACCCACCGATGGATGCAATGTAACAACAGCAAAGCCAAAGATCAATATAAGTGTCATCACTATAAAGAAAGTGTTAAGCCCACAGTCCTGTCCAGATGGAGTGAAAAAGTGGAAGAGCAGTCCGTTGAATGCAAAGGTAGCCACATAACATACAAGTGAAACGACAAGCAATGCCACATACCTAAAACAACAAAGCCAACCAAGAGTAGGAAGAGAGATTAGCGTGAGGAGGATAGCGAGAACAGAAACAATAACTATGCAATACATATGACAAAACTAACCAGAACTGCTCATCGTATCCAACCCATTTGTCATTCCAACTGTGCACAAAGTCCAACAAGAGCACAACTTGCACAAGGAGAAATAGTCCAGAACCAAACTTGGAAATTGTCTCTGTATTCACAAATTAATACTCAGCCTCAGGTGCAGATCCACATGTATGGGAAATAAATTTTGAAACTTCTCCCAATATTTTAACACATCAATTACAAAAGGACCCTGAGAAAAATAGCTCATCTTACCATAGAAGCTGATGATTCCATTTGGAAGGAAAAACATGAATATTACCATAAGGCACCAGCAAATGATTTTCATCATCCAACCACCATGGTGCATACTGTCACGTGGGTCTTTCTGGTTCTTTACACCAATCATTAAGATTGCTAGAATAGTGAAAAATAGAAAGTTCCCCAAGCTAACCCGAAGCACAGCATCTGTTTCAAACCACTCTCTGTTTGGTGTTGTGTGAAAGCTATTAATCCCTGCAATATAACCAATGAGTAAAGATTCTTGGAAGATTAGACAAGCCACTAAGAGTAAAACTACAGTATCATCCAGCCTATAACAAAATCAAGGTTGTGGACTTAAGGCGCCAAATAAGCTCATAATCCCATCTCAACAAGTTAACTGGGGTTGGAAGGGACAATAGAGAATGAGAGACACACAGACACACAAAAAAAATTATTTCAACCTAAATACTTGGGTAAAGCCAACATTCCTTGCTCTTCCATGCTGCTTTCATCAACTTCAGAGAAGCAATTCTAGATTTGATTTGTTTTTTAATCGTGTTGCACATGAGCTATAGTGCCATACCTTCCTTATCTATTTCGGAAATAATTTCAAGGCTCAGGCTAAGTGCTCAATTCTAAGTCTTCTCTAAAATTACCACTGGAAGGTCTTCCAATGATCAGACATTACCACACAAAGAACAGCTTGCCAAAGCTTCACTAAAGCTACAATGGCATACCCAGTGACGACCAGTGCGGTGTGGGGAGAGTGGACACTCGCAGTCTTACCCCTACCCTGTGCAAGTAGAGAAGTTGTTGATAGAAAAATATTCACTATAGCTAAGCAACTAATTGAAGACTCACAACCTCAACTCCAGAAAGAAAGCCATCAAGCCAAAAGAGTTTCTGGCCATTTTCATAGACTAGATATGTAATTTCCTTTTCCCTTCATTTATTTTCAAAAGAAAAGAGCTTCACGATAGGCTAACTGATGCAAAGCGAAGTACCAAAGTCAGTATCAAGAGTGAAGATGTGGGCTATCTTGGATATGGAAACTTTAAATCAATAACAAAGAGCTTAAAATGTCACGAAAGAGTCATCAAAAAAGGCTTTTCAAGTCCACAACATGCTCAAACAGATTTATGAGGGAAATGGTGACGATCAAGGAGGTCATCAAGGGCTTTGGACCATTCTTCCAACTATTATGAACTTGGAGTACTTAAAGGAAATCATGGAAGGAAGACTTCAAGACCAGTAAAATGCTCGAGCGACTATTTTTTATGCTGTTGTCATTCAAATAATTTGATACGAGTATAAATAGCTTTTAAGTCTTTCACATTAGGGTTAGCAAGTTTTGGATGTTGAGTACTCTTTTCTGAGCTAAAGGACATGCCTTTTATCTCATTTTATCATAATTAAAAAATATTAAAAATCTTACATGGTATTTTCTCCATTAGAGGGGCAGCAACCTCCCTAAGAATCCATGAGACGATAAGTGACAAAGCAAAAAGACCACAATAGGCAATCCTGGCAGAACGTCGGCTGATCCCAGACACTACCGTACGGCAAGCATCACAAGCGCACGCCGCACAGCATGACGCAAGACAAGAAGCCGCCCACATCTTCACCAAATTCTAGCTTCTCTCCAACAATTGTACTATATCAAACCCTGAAAATTCCAAAATTATACCTTAAATCATCCTTTATCCTAAAATTTCAATCGATCAATAAACTAATTGAACCACAATTCATGTAGTGATAATTAATATAGCAACATGTAAAATTAACCAGGGAGATCATCTTTCTAGTAAACCCTAAGTAAAAGCAAGAAGAAAAGCGGCAAAGGAACTACTAATCAATAAGCAATTTGTGATTAGCCATATGGAAGAGAAAGTTCATCGGACGGTTTACCTAGTTACGCCGGAGAACGGAGACGACGATGGTCGCGATTCGAAAAACGAGTAATACGGGAACTTTCTACGCTCTTCTGTACACCAATACGAAAAGAGAAAAAAGAAAAGAACAACGACGATGCGCCTTGTTGTGTTGGATGACGAATGTTCCTGCGGTGGGGGTGGGGTCCACACGTGTTAAGTGCACAATTCACAAATAACCAAATGTAATTATTCAGATATCAATTTTTAAGACGGATAATTAATTTATCTCAGTGAATTTGGAATACATAGTGTTTTATGCAGGGGTAATATGTAATATTTTAGGGTGAGCATTATGTACGAATAATATTAGAGAAGTAAATTTCATTAGACGGAGGATTGGCGATTCGGAACGGGTGTAGCTATCGAGTGCGTTTTGTTACTTTTTGTCACGGCTCAAGTTTTGTGTGACAGATTCAATTCAAAAGGAGTTAAAAATGATCGATATGGTCATTCGTGTGGATAACCATCTTAAAGATAAAAAAAGAAAAGGAAAAAAAAAATAAAAAATCTATGAATTAATAACCAAAATATTGAAATTATAGGCAATAAAGGATTAAAATTCTCATCTCCCAATTGACTTAAACGATCTAAATTCAACATTACGAAGAATAGTCAAATGAAATCAAAAATCACAAAGGGATAACATTTTAATTAATTAAACCCAAGAAGTTAACTAGCAATCGCAAGAGTTCATCTTAATTACTCAGTAAGAAGATAATATAATTTGCGAGTCAATATTCAACATAGTCTAAGTCTTTCAAAATTAAAAAGAAAAACCTAATATTTATACCAAGGAAATAAAAAAGACATTTTTGACGTTATCTTTAATAAGATAGGAGCCTTGTTTCATTCTTGAGGGATACAGGTCACTCATGTTAGTGTTGTCCATACTGCCTGCCTATGTTAGCACAAACCAACCGAATCATCTCGAATTATAAGCAATATTAAACTCATTAAATTTAATTATGAATTCACTTTTATAGCTATGCTCATTGCTGCATTTACGAACTAAAGATAACTTATAGTCTACGATACAATTGTTTTTTTGTTTTAAAAAAAAATTATTGTATTTGAACCTATAACGCAGCCTATATTTTCATTATTCATTGGGTCGTTCAATAATCATATTTGATAAGAATGTTAATTGGGTATCAACCTTTGACATTTTTGACATGTCATGGCTATTTTCTCAACGTTTGGTCAATTAGATATTAGCTAGGCTAAAATTATGCCTGCAAATATGCATACATCGCTGTCAACTTCATTTACGTAGTAAACATAAACTGAGACAAGTTTCTGGTATACCATTATTTTTCTGCAAATATGGGGAACAACAATAAGTTTATGCTGTTAAATGTGTGTACTATAATAGACTATCTTACATGGTTTTGCAACAAGTCACTCTTTACTATATTAGACAAAATAATTATACCTACACAAAATAAATTAGTTTTTCAGAAATTTGAAGATTTAAATTTATTGATAAATTTAAACCGAATTAATCATGCATGAATATATGTTTACACACGATGCCAAATAGATAGAGTAGTTCTCTACTTGTAATATTATTTGCTTATAAATAATGTATTTTAAATTGTTGCTTTAGCTTTGACAAGAATTCAAGATCAAAATTGATGATAAATGGCACTAAAGTAATAATCCCTTTTAACATAGTTTGATGATTTTTCTGATGTATATTTTTATTAAACTTAAAATACATTTAAAATGGAACAGATAAAATAAAATGTGAATATTATCAATGCTCATTGAACTCTATATTTGTTATAGATCTAGAAGGTCTTAGATGGTCAATCAAATTATAAATATCGAAAAAGTCAAATTATTTTCTTAAAATTGAAATTAATAAGAAAGAAAATTAATTTACATTATTTTTAAAACGATAAATATCTTAAATATAACACATTAATAAAATGAATATTTAATATTATTTTAAAATATTAATAAACTTATATAAAACAACATAATAAATATTTTGAGATCGAAAAAATATAATGTGTACTAATTATACATGGAGCGCACCACGGGACTAGTATGGTCAAACGAAGATCCGACCCTTGGATCATCCCAAGCGTCAAAATAGAATACAAAATAGTCCAACAACAAATTACGTTCCACCAAAAAAATCCCCAAACTGATTACAATTATAAAGTGCCCTTCTCTCCTACGCGAAAATCGCATTTTCTTCTCTCTCTCTCATCTCATGCTCTTTACATCCAGAAAGTGCGTGTCCTCTCCCTCTTGTCGCCGGCACCTCTCCTCTCATTGAGGGAGCTCAACTCTTACATTGCCGGCGATTGACGCGAATTTGCTCCGATCGATTCGACGGCTGCTGTCCTTCATTTTTCTTCTATTGTAAGTATCGTCCTTATCGTATTTAGATCTCTCGCATCTGTATGTGTTTCTGTGAATCTGCATTGATGTATGTGTCTGCCTGTTTGTATGAGCAGCTGGATGTTTTTTCAGATCTGATGTGCCTTGGTTGTTTTAATTTTCTTTTTGAGCTCTTTGTTAATTTGATTATTTGCTTAGTAGTTTATTAGCAATTTCGAGAACATCTGATTTTAGGTTTTGAGTTGTTCGATTGACTAGCGCGATTATAAGTATAGTCTTATTAATTAAGATCCGTGTGATTATAGTGATTCTGTGGAATTAAGATTATAGGATACACGGAAACCTTTGTCCTGTGTTTGTAGATTTATAAGTGAACTCCTAATGAGACTGTTCGCTGTTGATGAGTAAGGAAGATATGAAGATGATCTGCCTAAGAGTAATCGCTTCACAGATTGAACAAGCAAAGTGGTAAATTGCATAGATATTTGAAGTCAGGATACATTACATACATTGCATTTTAGCTTTAGCTGCAGGTCCTGTCAACTCTTATGTCTCATAAAACCTACCTGTGAAGTTATTGCTGAAGCACATTCCGTAAGCAAGTTTGAATTTCTGCGATTGTGTTATCAGTCTCAAACTCAGAGAGAGAAGTTGGTTAAAGTTTCTTAAAAGGGAGTGATTGATCGTGGCTAGCCTATATGAACAATTGAAAGTCAGTCGTGCATTGACATCTGCTATATCTTTGTTTTTATTTTTATGGGTGATATTGAATAAATTTACAAATTTTCAGCTACTGCAGTGTTATTTTATTTTTGGCCTAACACATTCTTATATTTTATGTTGATCAGTCTGATGATGTTTCTTCATTTGATGTTTATTTTGACATTTCATTATCTCTTTCTTGCTTCAGATGGTAGGTGGTACATGGAACCACACTTGTTAGAATAGATATTGAACCAAGTGAAAATGTAATATACAAATGAATCTCACATAGAACATGTTAATGTTAAGAATGATCAAAAGCTAGTAGAGCAAATAATGATCTTTTATCCTGATTTCTGTCTTCCTTCCTATTTTTCACTCCATGTACATGAAATTAGCACATGTAAGCAGCTTTGGTGTAAGAATGATGAAAGACATCAGCATGCCTCATTTCAGCCCTTCTATCATTTACTTTATTTCCACCATCGCCATTTCTGTAGTTTGTTTGTCATCAATTATTCATTCTGTTTAAGTTATTATATTACAGCTCATCTGTATTATCTGCATATGTTGGGGTTGCTTGAGATGAACCCGACCAGGCCAGTTGTATAATTGCACCTCCTATGTATGTTGTTTTCCCCTACGTTCGTCCCCCGTTCTTTCTTTTCTTTCCCTCATGTTGTTACTTTGGATGAGGGTCATTGTATATATATTTTTCACTTGTGTTTGCAAGTCGGTGAAAACTTCTGCACGAATTATGCTTTTGACACTCATGATATTTATCATGTCGAACTGATAGGTGCAGGAATCGTGACCAGCTGCCAAAGATTAACTGTTTAAGGTTATGGCTCTTGACAGCATAATAACTTCTCCTCATAGGAGGTCACAGACACAAACAGCATTTTCATCTACTGATCCAAAGAAGAATCAATACTCTCGAAGCAATGAGCTTGGGAGCTGTTCAACAGTACTTCAGCGCCACCGGTTCCTTCTAATTGCACTTGGCCTCCTAGCTTTTCTCTGCACTATCTATCTTTACTTTGCAGTCACTCTCGGGGCTGGTGACTCCTGTTCTGACTTGACAGGGACTCAAAAAGCAGCATGCTATGTGGAGCACGGGAAAGCACACATGGACAAAGGAAAACTCAAGTTCTTTTAGCAAATTGATGGCTGCTGGCTAATATTTTAGTATATGATATTTCTTTTTCTTCTGAGAGGCAGGATGTCCTATCCAAAGTGTTTACTTAGGTTCTTTGGGTCTATTGGGTGGTCATTAGTTTGATTGTATTCTTAAAAGATGTATAATTTGGTTTTGGGGAAGTGTTTTGACATCCGTAAATAGGTCTATCTATTGGGATGAACTCAACTGAGGGATGTTGGTGAGGCTCGGGTGGCTGTTACAATGTGATTATGAATGTATGTTAAAAGATGACATTATTAGGTGCAAATGAAAAAAGAAATAGTAGATAAAATATCACTTCTCGAGATATCACTCCATCCTTTGCATGTGAGTTGGGCTTATATAAGTACTTGCAACGACTTTTTCGTTAGGTCAAAAGTCGTTTGTAATATAACGTGTTATGCCTTTTTGTCTTTGTCAGAACGTCATAATCCGCGGTTCACCCACTCTTACATGTGACTAGTGTGTTGGATTTTCTAGGGGAGGTTGGGACTATGAAGTTGACTCTTATGCTGTTTGCTATAAAAGTCTTTTAGGACTTTCTGCATAGGATATACTGAGAAGTCCATAATAATGCATATATTTCTTAGTAAGTTTCTCTTGTTTTGATTCAACAAGCAATAAAAGACTCCTCCTGGACACCTTTGGGACGTGCATTACCTTGGAAAATTCCTTAGCATAAAACTGGTAATGTATCTTGATGGCTATCAAGGCTAAGTTAAATTGGGCCAACAACTACCTACCCTTATTAAGTAACTAACTATTTCTAATTTTACTTGGCGGGTCTCCTACTTAACATGCAAAGTGCACGATACTCTGTAAATACGTCGCCATTTCTGTTAGTGTCTGCTGTTAAATTTTTTTGACATTGTACATGAAATTTCATGTAGTCAAAGGTGTGGCCGTGTGGCCATAGTGGTTTCTAATTTTTTTAAAAGAAGCAACCATCTTATCCTAAAGTTACAATCATCAACTTAAAAGAACAAATATAAGTATTTAATTCACTAAAAACGAATAAGGATTGAGTTAAACTTTTTGAGAGTGAGTAGAAACCAATAGTCAAATATTGTAGTTTAAATAAAAATCAAACTTAAATGACTTTTAAATCAAAAAATAAAAAGTTGGGAGCTTTTGATTTTTTAACCTTTTAAAATTATTTTAAATTATATTTAACTTTATCAAACACTCTCAAAAGCTAAAAATAACTTACGAAAAAGAGTGTGATATACCCTCAACTTTGTCATTTAGAACTGATATATCTCTTGTTATGAAATTAGCTCATATATACCCTAATTATAAACAAATGACTCACATATACCCTTTTCCTCTAACGGAAATTAAAAAAATAATAATTTTAATCTAACTTTTTATCATTTTTTTATAAAAGATATAATCCCATATAAGTAAATTTAATCCTCGCCAAACATATTTTTGTTGACCTTTTTTTGTTTCAATGACTAATTTAAAATTATTATTTAGATAATCAAATTTATTTATGTTTTACTAATATTCTTGTAAAACTTATTGTAGATGACCAAATTTTTTTCTTCGAATACAAAAATCAAATAAGGAATGTATGAAAAAAATAAAATAAAAATAAGAAACTCAAATAATTATAATAAAAGAAGTCAAAAAATAATTTATATATTAAAAAAATTAAAATACACCTTGAACTTTGATAGAAGAATCATATATGCACCTAAATAATTTCTTTAAAAAATTAAAAGTAATAAATATAAATTTAAAACTAATTTTTTAACTTCCATTAAATGAAGGATAATATTTGAGCCGTTTTATAACATCGGGGGTATATGTGAATCGTTTATATAATGGTAAGGGCATATATGAGTCACTTTCATAACGAGAGGTATATCAGCTCCAAATAACAAATTTGAAGGGTATATCAAACCCTTTTCCCAATAACTTAAAAATTAATTTGCTCAACTTTTAAGTGCAGTAAGTGTAGTAAGTCTACTTCAAATACTGTACGAAATGAAAAAAGAAAAATTGTATATAATAGCAAACTAATTATCTAAAATAAATGGAGTAGCTAGGGTTTGATTTAATTGTGCTCCATAGCAAACGTTTGCAAAAAATTGTCAGGCGCCTCTCTCCCAAATATCTCGCTCGCCACTCTCCTCCAATCTCTCGCTCGTTTCCTCACTTTTTATACAAACGCAAGTGTATAAAAATTATTTCTAATTGTATAAATACATATATTTTTGTTCCCCTCTCTACTCTCTTCCAGATCTCGCTCGCCACTCTCCCAAATCTCGCTCGCCACCCTCTCCTTTCTCACTTATACAAAATGTATAAATTGCGTTTTTGTTTGTATAAAGCGTGAGAAAATTGTATATACACATGCAAATATATATATTTTCGTCCTATACACTTATAATTATACAATAAAAATACTCCCCTGCCCAGTTTCTTTTGCCTTTTACTCTTTCTCGTTTTATACAATTTTCAAATTGTATCTAATTTCTCTCTTTCTCGTTTTATACAATTTTCAAATTGTATCTAATTTCTCTCTTTCTCGTTTTATACAATGCGATTCAATTGTATATTCTTTGTCAAGTTTCTTTTGTCTTTCTCTCTTTCTCATTTAATACAAATTCAAATTGTATATAATCGTTCTATAAACTTATAATAATATAATTTATTTTATACAAAACATTTTTATATAGTTCTCTGCCCAAATTTCTTATTTTATACACTTCGTTTTATGCAATTTGCTTCAACTGTATATATATAGTGAATTATACAGTTTCTATGTTTGTTATGAGGAGCAATTATGTAAACTTTGCTACAGCATACAAATACAAATTTTTATTTTTTATTTGATATATGTGAAAGTTGCCGATGACAAAAGCCTAATTGAGCCCAACTAAACTTAATCAGATAAGCCCATCAACGTCCAATTTGGAAGCTGAAGCCCATAAATTGTCAGTTTTCGGGCAACCGTTCCCTGTCCTTTCTATTTCTGTAAATCAAAAGAAGGGATCTTTCTTCTCCACTCTATCTACTAATGGAAGCTGTGATCTACTGATATCATTTTTCCATTTTCATATATCACTGAACTATTACTAAAATTCTTCATCAAATTTGTATAGTTTTGTTATAATCCATGGCGGATTCCTTCAAACTCCAGCATCGAAAACTTGAATACAGGCGTTTGATTCCGGCATTTCTGTTGTCTCATTACACTCTTCTTACTATTCTCTGGATCGTTGGATTTATTCTGATCGTCATTTGGCAAAGGACTGCAGTTGAACGGCTTCTGATATATCGAGGTTTGGCATCACCTACGAGACCTATCCCTATGCTACGGCCTCTAGTCTTCAATCTCTCCGATTTCGGAGCGGTTGGCGATGGCGTAACGGTAAACACAAAGGCATTTGAGACGGCAATTTCGGAAATTCGGAAGCGAGGTGGTGGTCAGCTCAATGTTGAGCCTGGTCATTGGCTTACGGCGCCGTTTAACCTCACGAGCCACATGACGCTCTTCCTCGCTGAAAATGCAGTTATTCTTGGAATTGATGTAAGTAGTCGATTCGAAGTAGAATTCGTTTAGTTCCACAGAAGGTGTAGAAAAAGAATTTGAGCTGAACTGTTTGAAAACGTTCCGTGTTTATGTTAGTCAGATGCATTGCGTGTTCAACTTCAAATTCATCCTTTAATTGTATGTGTATTGAAAATTTAGTTACTAATTGTAGTAAACAAAGAGATCTTTCCGTGGTTTTAGCAGTTATGAAGGGTGCAAAAGCTTGCCTGGACACCACAATCACAAAAATAAAAATAAAAAAAAAATTGTGTAACTCAAGGATAGGGGGAATTGTAATAGGAGGAATCTAGTAAATGTGAAGATATAGTATAGTGGTTAAAACAAGTCCTAATAGTTATTTCCCCTTCAGTATGTGTGTGTTATTCGGGAATAACCTACCCTTTCCATTCCTATGATAATGACAAGAACAAGTTTATTGCCATTCTTGTACCGTCTTCTTATTTTAGCATAGGGGCATAGCTCTGGCTATTTGTGGCAGGTGTAACTGCATTTGTTTTTCTCCTAGATACATGACTTTTTCGTGCACATGCATATAAAACTAGCATTTTTTTGGCATCTGTTATTGTTGCTTACTGCAATTCCTATACTAAATGTCTATAATGGTTGTCTGGCAACAGAAACTCAACTGACATTGCACTTTTACACTTAGACGTGAGATCTTGTTTCTATTCATGTCTCAAAGTTAATTTGCTTGTGATAGTTTTGAATTGATTACTTTTAGAAGCTTTTAAGAACGTGAGATCTTGTTTCTATTTATGTCTCAAAGTTAATTTGCTTTGTGATAGTTTTGAATTTATTACTTTTAGAAGCTTTTAAGAATGGGCTCATAATTTTCTTTCCTTTGTAACTAACTTCCAAGTATGTTGCTTCATCACATCCTAACAATTATCACATCTATTATAATACAAAAATATAGGAAAGTGTGCTTGGTTGAGGGTGCTACATATGCTGCTGCTAACTTATAGAGGTTTAAATGCATGCAACAGGATGAGAACTATTGGCCCCTACTGCCTCCTTTGCCATCATATGGGTATGGAAGAGAACGTCGCGGGCCGCGTTATGGAAGTTTAATCCATGGGCAAAACCTTAAGGATGTTGTCATAACAGGTAAAGTAGTAATATCTTATAAAAAAGCAGTAATGTACGAGTAGTATTTTATTATTCCTTCAGTTTTGAACTGGTGCTACCTTCTGTCACTTCTTATGAATTACAATAAATCACTATATGATTGATTATTTCCCAAGTGTGACTGTTAATGCTGGTAAGGAGGAGCCACTCCTCTTCAAGATTTCTACCACATGCTAAGTTATTAAGTTTGTCAAAGGTTTCCAGTGTTTCTTGTGTTAAACAAGATTCAAAACTCAAAAGCTTCTTCTCCAAAAAAGTATGTACATTCCTCTTTCAGGCATGCTGTTCCACCATATGTTCTTTAGGTCTATCTCTGCTTTTAGCATCTGTTATTGAGTTAATTAGTTATATGTCTTGTTTTCCGATACATGCAAGTTGCCTCTGCACATGTTTTCTCTTCTAGCTAGTTAGCGACAAATTCCCCAAATGAAGTAGTGAAGTACATATTCAAATGTGATTCTTAAAAGGTGATTGAGAATTGTACAAACCTTTATTTGATTGTTTATAAACAATTGTGAAACAGGGCATAATGGTACCATTAATGGACAAGGCCGATCATGGTGGGAGAAATACCGCAAAAAACTTTTGAATCACACAAGGGGGCCACTTCTTCAACTCATGTGGTCAAGAGACATTTACATTTCTGATGTTACATTTCGGGATTCTCCATTCTGGACCCTTCACCCTTACGACTGCCAAAATGTTGTTATAAGAAATGTAACAATTCTGGCTCCACTGACCGAGGCCCCAAACACTGATGGAATAGACCCTGGTGAGTTCTCCTTACATTTCTTGATCACTTTTGTTGCAACTGTAATTTGTATGTTGGCCCTTTTTTCCCCATATCATCAATTCTCATCTAAATGCTCACATATGACCTGGTCTGTAGGCATTCTATAGGAAGTGATGTACATGAATATTTTAAATGGTTACATATGCTCTATAAATTGCTTTTTCTTCAAAAAGTTCAGTCGTGTAATATCAAGAATAGTTGTTAAGAGTTCTACAGGAAGTGCTGTATAGGAGTACTTTAAATGTTTATAGATGCTCTATAGAAATCGATTTGTCCTCAACAAATTCACTCGTGCAATATCAAGAATAGCGGTAAATAGCATAAATCTGCTCTATAAATCTTATCCACAGCTTAAGTTCCTTCTATATGTAATGCATTTGGGGAAAGTGTCTCAACATACCTAGGTCATGATTTATGTGAATGTACCAGCAGATTTTACCCTCACCTGTTGACTTTCCACAAAAATGTTTCATTGACTACCACCACCACAATAACAATCAAATGGGTTAAGTAATATATCGTCTCACTCTAGATACAGAATCCTAAGTCCATAAGAACGAGAGATTTGGGGTTGTGAACTGGATCACTTGATATTTTTAATACAAAAATATTGAGCGGATGGATCTTATGTTGGCAGATTCATGCGTGGATATGGTGATAGAAGATAGTTATATAAGTGTCGGGGATGATGGAGTCGCAATCAAGAGTGGCTGGGATCAGTATGGAATTGCATATTCCCGTCCGTCTTCCAATATCACTATCCGTAACCTCATAGTGCGCTCAATGATTAGGTAATAATTGTTTCCATATCATATTAAATTATGTCAAGTACATACATTTTCTTTTCCAATTACATGTTTGTATTACCTCCCTAGATCTGCCCGCATAAAAAGATGCATAATCCACACTTCAATAAATTATGTACAACTTTGTCTTCATTAACTTAAGGTTGCAATTCTTTCTTAGTTTTCTCAATTTAATTGCTGGAGACAAGTGTTCGTTTGAGTGTGTGCTGTCTTTTTTAGTTTATAAAGTCGACTGACTTGCTCATTATCAACAGTGCTGGAGTATCAATTGGGAGTGAAATGTCTGGTGGAGTGTCAAATATAATAGTGGAGAATCTCCTTATATGGAACTCAAAAAGAGGAATAAGAATCAAAACTAGCCCTGGCAGGGGTGGTCATATCCGACATGTTATCTACCGCAACCTGACCCTACAGAATGTTCGTGTGGGCATTGTAATTAAGACCGACTACAATGAGCATCCTGATGAAGGCTATGATCCAAATGCTCTTCCAGTTATTAAGGATATAAGCTTTACTGGTATTCGTGGACAAGGAGTTCGTATTCCAGCACGTATTTATGGGAGCGCTGAGATTCCTGTTCAGAATATTACTTTTCAGGACATGTCTGTAGGAATTACGTACAAGAAGAAGCGTATCTTCCAATGTTCTTTTGTTCAAGGACGTGTTATTGGCAAAATCTTCCCTGCTCCTTGTGAGAATCTTGATTGGTATGATGATGGAGGAAAACTAATTAGGCAATCAATAAAAAAGAATACAAAGGACTTGGATTATGATGGTTGAGACAAGGGTGCTTCAACGAAATTGTTGGTACAACAGCTCATCACTCGTTGCCAGCGACGTTTGATCTTCTTGGTCCTTCAATCCACAGCAAATGCTGGGAGACTAGAGCATATGTTAATACACATTTGCAGTTGTTACACTAAATTTGGGAGAATGATAGAATACATGGACGGAGTACCCACCCATGGAGCTTTTAAGAGGCAAACTTTGCCTCAATCTCACTGTGGAGGTTATAGTTTGGTTTTCGAGGCTGTAACCAGTGTACAAAGCTCCAGTGCCCACAGTAATACCCAGGCTGGTTGGGCCTATGCCAAATTTCATCATGGTTTATTGCATACGATGAAGGTGGATGTCAATTCTTGGAGAGGGGGGTATGAATGCTCCTTATCTCTATTCATATTTTTTCTGTTGTCTGTTTAATCCTCTGGTAAATTTGTTAGTGGTGGATTGTGACAACATAGTATAGGTAGTCTCTGTATCTTTGTATATGAACTTCAGTTCCATAAAAATATGAGAGAACATAGTATTGGTGTAGTGTAAGTCTAGCTCATATGCTGATTTATTCATAGCACACATAATTTTATGAAACAATTTAGCAGCAGTTATGATATGAAATAGGAGTACGATTTTAACATTAAATTGAATTGATACATCAGCTCTTATCATATACATCCTCCAAAAAAAATTTTGGACCTCAACAATCATAATATATATCAAATAACGGTTATTATCCTAGACTATTTTTAGTTCTTTAAGCCATGCAGTATGCAATGGGCATGGATCTGGTTTCCCTTCTGCAATTGCCTTCTCAGAGAGTGAATAGAACCATCCGTTTCTCCATTTGAACTATACAAGGGATCGGACGAATGGGATGGTTAGAGCACAGGATTGAAAATGTAATGTCAATTATGAAATTTACATTTCTTACCTCCTTGACAGCCGTTGGAAAGTGTGCAACTGCTCGTGAGTAAGCGCAGAGCCTGTCTTCCATGGCATCCTCAAAAACAAGACCTTTCTCTGCAGCTGCTGCAGCCGCAAGCTCAGCAATTAGTTTTGACACCTGAAAGCAGCAAACCTAGTTAATAACGTCCTGGCATCTACATTGTCATCTGACCTAGCTGCAAACATTTAGATAGCAAGTGAAGCATCCAACTTTCAGTTCCTCCTATTAATATGTGATAGTATCCTTGAGTGCGACCAAGAGCCACGTTAATTTGGAAAAAAGAGGGGGGAAAAGAAGAGGAAAGCAAAGGAATGAGTGATTCTGACACCCCGCCCAGATTAGATAGCATTTTGCCTTTTCGCGTGGACAAGGGTGAGTCAATTTAGTAAAACTGTAACAAGAACTTTCACGAGTGCATTTAGCCCCCATCAACTACCACATATAGTTGGTCTAAACAGTGACACAGCATGGATTAGTAGAAGGTCCAAGAATTACTGTTTATAAAATCCTATGAAGGAAACTAAGCTGAAAAGTGATCTTTTTTATAAAAAAAAAATTTAAAACTTATAGTAGTCTCATTGGAGTTATGGTGTGAGGGTTGTTGATTAACCTTTCAAAAGGCAATTAAAAGTGGATACTTCTCAAAGGGTTTCATAGATGAATCACTCACCTCAGAGCGGTACTCTTTTTCAACTGCTCCTACTGTAGCTCCAGGATGGCGAGCTCCAACAAGCATGAAAGCACATATCCATATAAGCTTCTCCAGCATTTGCTTCTGAAAAGGCTCCTTATCAAGTACCTGGTATTCACAAAAAGCAAAATGCATTATAGATCTTAGTACCAGTCCATTGCAAGCTACTATAAGGCGCAGTTCTGAAAGATGAATAATGGACTTCCTGGACCTTCTAAACTTGTACGAGAAAAATTGAAAAAGATATACCATCTTTGAAGATTACAGTTGGTAAGGTAACAGCATATTGAAATGATTTTACCTCACCTTTCAATTTGAATTGGCAAAACAGTGTCTCTTTTTGGGTCACACGATTTATTCATCTTTATGAAAATTAAAATATAAGGAAAGAGGTATACTATCAGTAGTATTTCGTATAGAACTGTTGAATACGAAGCCTCCAACGGAGGAAACTGAGTCTAGTTCATCAAGGAGGGAAAAAAACATTGAGGGCTAATATTAGACATGTATGTTGAAGTCTTCAAAGTATAACACACTAAACTTAGACAAGACATCCCTATTTACGATAAACATGAAATCAAACATAATCTTCTAGCCAACCTTCAATAGCTCAAACTGAAACTTTTCACTGCATGGTTTATAATATTATAACGAGCAAATAATACCATGTAAAGTTCATTCTTTACCTTGCAAGAGAGTCCTCCATTCTGCAATCTTGCAGCCACTGCAGATGCCCATTTCCCATAAGCCGCAGTCAATCCTTCTGGATTTGTATCAGTTTTCCCATCAGTTGGGGGTTCACCAAGCTTTGATACAGCAAAATATGCCAAAACTTGGTCTGCATCACCAAGGCCTTTACTTTGGAACCAAGGCTCTAGCATCCCATTCTGGAAAAATACCAAATCTGCTACATCAAGATTTATTACAGGGTCACATCATCCATTAAGACATAAGTATGCTCAAACTACACTCTAGGAAAAAAACTAACAGAAACTAATGCATTGTCTATTCATGCCAAAAAGGAAATAATAATGTCTATACATGAGAAAACAGAAGAGTGGTGACACATGACTGCCAAAATTTCAAACAGTGATGAGTTCGAGCCAAACCCAGCCACCCACTATTTTACTAAGGCCGGAAAGGATACCCACCAAGTTCATATTTTTGAATGTTGTGGTCTTAAATATGCAATAATTTAGAAAAAAAAAATCATTTTTTTTAACTCTAAAGAGTAAATAACAGAGTGTAATTGATGGGAATTCCAGCATACCGCTCCAACGAGATTTAGGGGTAGCTTCAAGAACAGCTTCAAGATCATCATTCCTAGTGCAAACCAATATTGGACCTACAAAATCAATAGGAACTGGTTCACCCCTTTTAACCAAAACATCATCTCCATTACCCAAATCTTGTAAAGCTCTTCCCACACGTCCACCTCCAACTATGATAGCAGGAGCAACCATGTTGCCTGAGGTGGAAATTGATGCTCTAATTTTAAAATTCTGGTTGATTCTTGAAATTGGTTTGTGCCAAAATGTTGAGTTAGAGAGAGTGACAGTGTTCACCATTGCTGCTGCTGCCTTCATGGTAGGCAAAATCTGGGGCCATGGTTTCTTCTGATACTTACTATTAATGGGTCAAGAAGAGAGCCACTCGTTTTCACTTGTGATCCACAAAATTTTATCGCTTTATCAATGACAGTGGCCTAGGTCGTAGAAATTGGGATCCGATTTGATGAAAATTCTAATCGGGTCGCTGGTTGTTGGGCTTGGTAGTGATCAGGCTTAGAGAGCCTTGAAGGCCCAAATCAACTGTAAAGTGTGGACTTGTTATTACTTGTATACGCCACTTGTGAAGTTGTATTCGATTTTGAGATCAACCATTTAAGTCATATTTATATCGCGTAAAAAAATTACTAATTTATCTAGTTCGAAACAATTTCAGATACATAAAGTAAGATGGAACATATAAAGGTAAACTATTTCTATAAAACTTTATCACTGGACTTATTTGTCAAAAATTCAACCATGGATAATTACATGGCATCCCTATGTAATTACTTAATAAGGGTATAGTTTAATTTATTTACGGTCAGTAAATATAGTTTCATTTTTTTGACATAATTAATGGGATCCACTATCTATTTGTATACAAAATAAAAATAGTCATCCAAAGATCTTTATATAATTTTATTCAAAATCAAATTTATCTCTCATATTCTCATTCCATATATTTTCCTAAAATTACTCTTCCCTTCTGATTTGAATTTTCATTGGGAAAATTTTGACCTTCTCCCTCCGATGTTCTTCCACTTTTCGTAGGTAACTACCAAATTCATGGCTTTCAATATTTTTTTCTTGGTTCCTTCTACAACAATTGTATATGTAGTATGATTGTTAGTTTTTTCATATTTTTTTAAAAAATCTTTATTACTTATTAATTTACAAATCTTTCAAAATCAGAATAGATGATTTCTGTCCATGTATGAGGATTACGAGAGGTATGTCATTGCATGTCAATGTTGTTGATAATCCACCTTCGTTTCAATTGGGTTAACTCATGATTCTGGGTTAATGTAGGGTCTATGGCAAAACATAAACAAGTTTAAGTTGAACAATCTATTGAAGAATTGAGATCCATGAAAAAAAAATGACCCAATGGCAATTCATAAAGTCATTCAATTGAATCTGCCTCATCAGAACTGGACAAATCTGAAGAATATCGGGAATATCAGGTAGTATAATTTATATACAAATTACAAAGTTATGTATATAGTGATTTATATATTAAGTTAATATATACAAAGTATTATGAAACAGTTCTTAATTGTATATTCTATTAGTTGTATACCAATTACTAAAGTTAGATATAGTGGGTGTATATTAAGATAACATATACAAAGTCTTATGAGCTAATATCTATTTGTACACAATTATTTAATTTTGTATAAAGAAATTTGTAAATCACTCTTTAATATTATAATACATTATACAAATTCGTCGATATATACAAAAAATTATGAACATAATAAAATATTGTATATATAAACGTTACACTCTCAAATATAGAAACATATTTCAAGCTTACTATATATACAATGAACAAATGAATATAATATACAATCAGTTAATCAGTAATACTTTAAAAAAAAAAAAAAAAACATGAAATCACAGATGCATATATAACTATAATATATATACCAAGATTATTGTACATTATACAAATTTTCAGAATTATACAAAAAAGAAAAAATAGGAACATAATAAAATATTGTATACAAAAAAATTACCCAAAAAAATTAAAAGAATATATGATGGTCATATACTGTTTAAAACACAAAATCAATTTCACACAAATATTATATAAAAATTATATACAATTTCGCAAATATATACAATATAATCAATTTATATATAAATATATTTTTTTGTGTGTGTTTCATAGATTTATCTAAAAAAAATTAGAAAAATATTTAATTTTGAACTGGTATTGTCTTTCTATAGCTTTAGAATTCTTTTTTGGGGGAAATATTTGATTTTAAATGTTTTGCTTAAATCATGGGATTATGTAAATTTATTGTTAGCATCTTTTGTGCTACTGTTACCATTTATTGAATTTTTTTTTGTATAAATTTAATTAAAAAAACGTTTTATACAAATTTAGAGTCACCTAACAAACTAAACTATATCCATGGAATAACACACAGATTTATCTAAAAAAAATTAGAAAAATATTTAATTTTGAACTGGTATTGTCTTTTTATAGCTTTAGAATTCTTTTTGGGGAAAATATTTGATTTTAAATGTTTTGCTTAAATCATGGGATTATGTAAATTTATTGTTAGCATCTTTTGTGCTACTGTTACCATTTATTGAATTTTTTTTTGTATAAATTTAATTAAAAAAAACGTTTTATACAAATTTAGAGTCACCTAACAAACTAAACTATACCCATGGAATGTAATTATGTAAACTATACCCATGAAATGTAATTTCATAACATCCGTTTGCCATATAAGAAATTTCCCTTTTTTATTTAAATTACACGAAAAAATACTTTAACTTTCTCATATAAAACTTTAGATTTTTATTTGAATTTCAAAAACCTTATGTCTAAAGTTATTACGAAGTAGATAGATATGAAAAACGAAAAAAAGTTGGTTACATATTAAATAGAATTGTATAAATAAGCCACTCCATAAAATTACTTCCATTATTTCAGTTTATATAACCCTAATTTGATTAGAATAGTAGTTTAAGAAAGAAAGAAAAGTTAAATTCTTTATGATCTTAAATATAACATCTCATTTGTTGTGGTTATAGTTTTGAAATTTATGATCATAAAATGACACAATATTTGATTATTTGTGTTAGTTATAAAAAGTTGACATTATACATAAATATGATCTTTAATTTGGGTTTAACGGATAATCATACTCTTCAATTTTGAGTATACATAAGTACACAGTTAAACTTGTATAAAATTGAATAAGTAAACACATGTATCCTACATGGCATAATACATGTAGGATGCCACGTATGATGCAAAATTTCCATGTAGAGTGTCATGTAGGATAAATATGTCTATTTGCTTAATTTTATACAAGTTTTAAGTGTCTACTTGTGCACATCCAAAATTAAAGGTCGTAGATATCTACTGACGTCAAATTAAGTATCATGATTATGTATTATGTCTAAAAAGTTTGCCAAAATCAAAATTCTTTCTGAATTTAAAATTGATTTTTTTTTCCCCAAAAAATAGATTAATAAGAAATTATATCATTCTTTTTTAAATGCGGAGTAAAATATTCAAAATTATTGCATTTTTTTAAATTTTAATACAAATTCCTTGATTTTTATCAATAAATTCATTAAATTACCTTACCAAAAAATTCTTAAAAGGTAGGAAAGGAATATAATTGCTATATTTACAAGGATCTGCAGAGTTTATTTGCTTCATAAATTTTGTTTCAGACAAACCGTACGGCAGTGTATATATATTCAAACCTACTTCGCGCCACTGTCCAAATCATCAGCCGACAAAACTCCGGCGACGGGCCCCACAAACCCGCCGTCGATTAAGGAGAAAAAACACATGGTATATAGTATTGACCCAATCAAGTTCCTTATTTTACCGTTGGAGAATTTCAATCTTAAATATTACCAAAATCCAACATTTTGAAAGCCCCAATGAGTAAAAAATTTTCAAATTCAAATTTCTGTTTGTTACCATCAATGGTCTTATTGGCTGCAAACACAAGATAAAGCATATATCTAACCACTACCCCTGCTCTTTCTTTAAAGCAAAAAATAAAGTGCCCCACCCCAACAAACAAGAAATCAAAAAAAAAAAAAAATCCTATTTATATAACCTGTTGTTCTGTTCTTTTCACCCAAATTGGGTGTTCAAAAATGTCTAGTTTCAAGAAAACTACAAACCCTCTTCGTTCTTCGACTTCTTATAATTCCCTTTATGATAATCCTTTAAATGAGCTCGGACAAAACCGGAGCAGCAGTACGGTTGGTGAAGCATTGGGTGTTCATTTGCTTCAGAACCAACTTGTTATATCTGATAATAAAGAAAATTCTGCACCACATAAACCTGAAAAATCCAATCTTTGTGATAAAGAATATGATTGGACTAGTAAGGTTGTGAATAATGAGTTTACGAGGGTTGGGGCTGATGTGAAAGACTCTGTTCTGAGGCCATCTTCACTTCAGCTATGTATACAAAAAAATGAACCTGATTCTAAAATTGGGTTGAAAATTTGGGAGCATGCGGATGATACTGAGACCCCGAATTCTGCTAATATTTGGGATTATTCGGATTCTGAAGCTGCTCCAGCTTCTTCTTGGTCTACACTTCCTAATAGGTCTGTAAATGTCTTTGATTTAGAGATAAAAATCAGTTCTTTGATCATGATTATTGATGACAGTAGTATTTTTTATTCTATTTTCAGGTCATTGTTGTATAGGCCTTTGCCTATAGACATTGGACGATGTACTTGTGTGATAGTGAAAGAAGCATCTCAAGAAAGCAGGGATGGAGGGAGTTTTTACTCACTTTATACAAATGTAAGGCTTCCTATTAAGCTTGTTGAAAACCAGTAGGCAATAAGCATTTTCTGCTGTTCAATGCTTTGGTTGAGTAAGATTACGAAGCCAAAGATTCGAACTTTATAGGTTCTGAATACTAGGATAGCGATGTCAGGTGTTAGTAACTGAATGCTGATTTCTTAGAACTTATAGGTTCAGCTGAACCCATACATCGGCTACTAGCTCCCCCTGTTCGTAGTTATTTGTTCATGATAAATTCGTAGTAATGAAGAGGTAGTTCCTTTAGTTTAAAAGGCTGAATACAGAAAAAATCAATGAGAGACACTTTTCACTACCATTTACCTAGAAGAAGACAATTAGTGACCAGAAAAGACTTGTGTCAAGAGAAATATGAATCTTATGAAACAATATAGATGTTTATATCATCATACTGTATAATTTCTATAAAAGATTTACTTAAGAACTATAGTATAAATTAGCACCAAGTAATGTATGTCATAGCAAATAGACATGTGATGTCAAATATAGCTTCTGAAGTTCATGAAGGTATCTAGTCATTTGTCACAGAATTGATGATGTTAACTGAGATCCTAAGAATACAGAAGTCACTTGGTACTTAATAGATGATACTGCTCC